TGGATCAGTTTGAATACATCAGAATACTTGAAGAGGTCATGCTGCCTTATTCTGAAGAGGAAATGCCCTTGAAATGGGTGTTCCAACAAGACAACGACCCCAAACACACCAGAAAACGTGCAACATCTTGGTTCCAGACCAACAACATTGACGTTATGGAGTGGCCAGCCCAATCCCCGTATCTTAACCAATAGAAAACTTGTGGGGTGACATCAAAAATGCAGTTTCTGAGGCAAAACCAAGAAATAGAGAAGAATGTGGAATGTAGTCCAATCATCCTGGGCTGGAATACCTGTTCACAGGTGCCAGAAGTTGCTTGACTCCATGCAACACAGATGTACAGCAGTTCTCAGAAACAGTGCTTATACAATTAAATATTAATTAAGTGGTTCAAAGGAAAGCAAAATCTTCAAACATTTTTTCAGTTTATATAGTGAATGTTTGAGTTTGTAAAGAAGAATACAAACACTGCTATTTTTTTGAACAGTCTAATATTCACTTTTCTTCCAATTTTTTTAGAGGAACAACACAAATTTGATATATTTTTCTTCATGTTTTGATTTGGAATAGAATGTGTAGTGTTCCCAATGCATTTGCGTGTATGGAAATAAAAGCTATTAGAAGGATTTTGAGCTTTATTCACTTTTTTCAACACACTGCTATTATTTTGAACACAACTGTACATCCCTGAGCTAATAACTGGCATCATTGCAGCTGCTGCCATTTCTTCTCTGAGTAGAATTGCTGTGACACTTTAAAATGTACAAAACGAATTACAGAAAAAAAATGGGATGGCTGAGGGAGGTGTTAAGAATTTTTATTTTGTCATTAAGTTGTCCAAAAAATGAGATGACTGTTGAGCTGTGTGATGTGGTTGAGTTCAGTCATATTGCAACACAGTCTTATTCCAGTAGGTCCAGCAAATACCAATAGGCCAACCAATATAGGAAGTGAAAAAGTTAGAAAGTCAGTTTTGATGTCTGTTGTTTCCTGGCACTGATAGTACATAGCCATTCCTGTCCATTTTTCTATGGGCATGAGCACACAGATTTGTCCAAGCTGAGCACTTACATTTATTAAGCCATTGGCAGACTGTGGTGCCTCATCAAATCAATCAAATTGTGAGAATGTGGTTTGCAAGCAGCAAGGATTAAAGTCAATGCACAACAAACGTCCCTACAGCACTTCAACTACCTATTTTAAGCCACATTCTTAAAATCCTTCACTAAATATATTTCCTTTATGTTTATTGGCAGTCACATGACCGCAAACCCTCTGTGAGCATCAAACAGAGACTATAAGCAAGACATCATTACTGGAAGTGATGCTGGACCGCTAAAGTAAAGCAAGGAGTGGAGCTGTGGGGACGGGTCTAGAGTGTGCACTGTTGGAGCTTCCTTCCTGGGCAATTATAATGCATGTACATTGGTGGAAGCATCCAACCTGCCCAGTGACAATCATGTATACAAAGCTGGAGGAACTTCTGGGTACCGACAATGCTGAAACACTATATAATTGAATGAAAGCAAGAGAGTGCTATCGGCCTATCACTGGTATTTGCTGCATACAAAGGGAGCAAGCAGCATAAATGGGATAAATGGTTATTTACTGGGTTTAGCAAAGGCTGTGACTTATAAACCCAACATGAAGGTTTTTTTTTTTTAATTGAAGTATCCAGAGACTTAACACCTGCTTCCATTTTTTCTTTAGGTGCACCGCATGTATTCTTTGTGAAATGTATTGTGGTGCGCTAAAGCACAGTTGTGTTTGTTCTTATATAGTACACGTTGGGGTGCAATTTAGAATTATTGGCAGCGAACACATATACCATGCCTTGACTCATATACATACAGTAGGTGTAAATATATACTAAAGGGTGTGCCACATGCAAAAGTCAGAAACGATAAGATATCCACTATCTGCTAGCTTTAAATCCCTCTTAAAGGTAAAGTGTAGTGGTTTCCTTTCCTTCATCTCTCCTGCTGTTTCTTTCTTTCTCTCTCTCTCTCTCAGTATTCGTTCTTTTTTTCTTTCCTCCATCTGTTCTTTCTATCCTTCCTTACTTTCTTCCTCTATTCCTCTGTTCCTTCCTGTGGTCCTAAAAAAAAAGACTTAAAATATCAGCTAAAATGTATTAACTTAAAGAATGTACTCAAAATTATTTCATATTTGGTATAATATCATACGGTGTAGAAATGGATCAGATGTAGGATCATTATAACAGAAGCAGCATAAGGGGTGTGAAGACGCATGTTACCTTTCAGGACATCTCTGCTTAAAGTATACCTATAGGCAAACATTTTTTCTTAGTTTTGGATAAACTGCAGATAGTTTAGAGCACTTTTTTGGTTTTTATTGCTGATTTTCACCCTCTCTATTTGTCTTGTTTACCATTATCATTGAAAGTAAAAGATAATCCCAAGTTTTGGGTTGTCCCCAGAAAAGTAGTAGAGTGGCCTAGGGGTCCCCAAGGAATTCTCTTATTTTGCAGGGGTTTCCTCTCACTTCCTGTTTGGCTATGGGATGGAAAGTGAAGGAAATCTCTGCAATTGGATACAGTTGGCAAAAAAATAATCTGACAGGGGTTATAACCCTCCCTTACTCTATCCAAAATGAGAAAAAAAAAGTTTGGCCTATAGTTCTACTTTACGTTTTCTCTCCAAGCTCTGCCCTGATCACACCAGATTAATATATTTAACTCACAGCACTTATATAGGCTTTGCTTTATTCTTGAGTATTAATTGTTTTTATTATTCATAAAGGTATTTGACACCTCAGACCTTCCTGGAGGAGTTGTGAATATTCTTACTGGTGGTCGTGACCATTTGGCCAAATACCTAGTGGAACATCAAGATGTACAAGCCATGTGGTATTTTGGATCTGAACAGGTAAAAAAAATTACATCCATGTTAATGTGTAAATGTGATGTGCATGTAGTTTATCGTAATCTGGTATTTCACTTGCACAGATTTCATACAAAACAAATGTGTCCTGTGTTACACCCATGCTATTGCGTGAACGTAGTCATACAGTATTAAAAACGTACATACCATGGGACCTATTTGGCTTCGAGGCTTGTTTTGGATTGGTTAAAGAAGATGGAATATAACTTATGTTCTTTATTTATTTTTGCTATCTGTGTCCCATTGGGGAGATTTCTACTCGCTTCCTATTCTGCAGATACAAGCACAAGCAGAAATGAGCAGTAATCTCTACAAGTCACAGGCATTCCTAGACCGTTTTCCAATTGTCCCTATTGGAAGATGATGGTACGTCGACTGGCTAAATCCATTCGCCTGACAGCGATTCTAACTGCCCCCCTAATCTATCAAAGTAAAAAAATGCCTAGTTTAGCCTGTGAATTTATATGTTGCAAAGAATATAAACGATGATTATTATTATTGTTTGGGCTCATCGGGGAAAAAAAAAAAAGAACAGATTCCCCCATCTACACAAGCAAGGTGGTTGGAGGAATCCTCCTCACTGTGCCATTGTTTTCTGATAGTGGGATTCCTCTGCCTCTGCTGTCAAAATACACTGATCAGCTGCTGCAGCCAGCTGAATGAGAAACATGTTCCAACATTTCTGCTCAACAGTCGATTGTTAGATTGACTATTATCAAGTGTACGGCCATAGATCGAAGTTTGGTCAGTCGCTACTGAGCCAGCCAAATTTTGTTCCCTCTGTGGCCAGCTTAAGGCACAACCCTACCAGTGTACACAAAAAAATTTTGGTCCCAGTTAGCATTACTGTAGCATGCACAATTGTATATCTGTTAACATGCACATTCTTGGTTGGAAATATAGTTGTAAGAAATAAGAGACCATATTCATATGGCAATTGGCCTGTTAAGGAATTGTGACAACACCCAACAGGGAGCTTTTCATGTGCAGGACCTGCAGTGGGGGAATCCCAGCAGGTAATATGTAGCTTGGGGAATCCCCGCAGGTAATATATATCTTGTTTACTCACTGTATAAATATCCACATTACTAGTAGGACAAGGGACATCTTAGATAAGCAACAAATCAGTATTACATGTAACATTCCAACCTTCTCTGCTTTATCTGAAAAAACTGTTGCAACTGACTACAGTTTTCTTTCTTTTTTATTTTAAGTGTTTCTTAAAGCCAGAAGGTAGGAACGTTAAGTGAAAATAGTTTTGAGGCATGTCTGTGATTGTTTTTTTTCTACACAATTGAATGAACGTTTTCCAAGGGTAGGGTTTCCTTTTGTTTTGCCAGGGGTTATATGACAGTCTGGCTATTCATTACAACCAACAATTTGACTGAGTTTCTCAGACACATTGTAGCTTAGTACCCACTAGTGTGGTGCAGTTTTGTTAGTACATTTTTGCCATACTAATTAAATGTATGCTTTCTTTGCAGTGCCTTATGCTTTTTGGTAACAATAAAAAATATCCAGTTATGTTTGTGATTCTATAGTTGTGTGATAATAAAATATAGAAATTAGTTTATCTCACAGGTGTTTTATACAACCCCAATTCCAAAAAAGTAGGGACGCTGTGTAAAATCTACAGAACAAAATGCAATGAATTGCAAATCTCAAATACATATTTTATTCACAATAAAAATACAAAACATATCAAATGTTTAACCACCTCTCGCCCGCCATAGACTCCAATGGCGGGCGCAAGGTGGTTCTCTCATTCTGGAAGGACATCATATGATGTCCTCCCATTCTCACCTCGCATGCGCGGCTCAGGGAGTGCGCAGCGCTGCAATCGGCAGTGCGCTGTGTCCCTCGGACACAGCGGATCACCTAAAGAGCCGAAGATGTCGGCTCGGTCATGTGATCAGCTGTGTCCAATCACAGCTGATCACATGTAAACACGGAAATGCCGGTTATCGGCATTTCTTTCCTCTCGAGCTGTCACGCTGACCGCTCGAGAGGAGAGGAGCCAGTAATCGGTTTTCCGCGGAGGGGACATGTACACTGATCATCAGGGCACTGATGATCAGTGTAGCCCCAGCAGTGCCACCTGTCAAAGTCCGTCAGTGCTTACCAGTGCACATCAATGCCACATATCAGTGCCCATCTGAGCTGCCTTTCAGTGTCATCCATCAGTGCCAGTCAGTGCCACCTATCAATGCCAATCAGTGCTGCCTATCAGTGCCAGTCAGTTCCCCCTATCAGTGTGCATCAGTGCAATATATCAGTGCCATGTATCAGTGCTGCCTTTCAGTTCCCATCAGTGATGCCTGCCAATGTCCATCAGTGCCACCTACCAGTGCCTCCTCATCAGTGCCCATCACTGCAGCCTCATTAGCGCACATCAGTGAAGGAGAAAAATCACTTATTTACAAAATTTTATAACAAAAACTAAGAAAAAAAGTTTTTTTTTTTTTTCAAAATTTTCAGTGGTTTTGGTTTGTTTAAGAAAAAATTAAAAACCCAGAGGTGATTAAATACCACCAAAATAAAGCTGTCACAAAAAAAGATAAAAATTTCATATGGGTACAGTGTTGCATGACAGCGCAATTGTCATTCAAAGTGCAACAGCGCTGGAAATTGGCCTGGGCAGAAAGGGGGTATAAGTGCCCAGTAGGCTAGTGGTTAAACTGCGAAAAATGTACCATTTTAAGGAAAACAAATTAGGTAACTTTTGAAATTGATGGCAGCAACATGTCTGAACAAAGTTGAGACAAGGTCATGTTTAGCATGGTGTAGCATCCCCTCTTTTAACACTCTGTAAACATCTGGGAACTGAGATGTTGATGGCGTTTTTGGGAGAGGAATTTTGTCCCATTCTCGCCTGATATAGAATACCAACAATCCCGGGTCTTCTTTGGCATTTATTCATTCCAAGATGAGCCAAATTTTTCAGTTGATGAAAGGTCTGGGCTGCCAGCAGGCCAGTTAAATACCCAGACACTTCTACTATAAGCAATGCTGTTGTCATAGATGCAGTATGTGGCTTAGCATTGTCCTGCTGAAATATGCAAGGCTTTCCTGAAAAGACAGTGTCTGAGTGGAAGCATATGCTGCTCCAAAACCTGGATATATCTTTCAGCATTAATGGCGCCTTTCCAGATTGGCAAACTGCCCATTGAGGTCAGGCAAGGACAATACTACAGGTCCAGCAGGCATTCATGCTTTGCACTTATCTATGAATCTAAAGAATGGAGCTTACTGAGGAGGTGAAATTGGAGATCCATACAGGCCAAGACTAAAGTGCATTGTTTTTTCTATAGTGAGAAAAGTTATGACGGTTTCAGAAAGGGGCACCTGGATTAGAAATACAGTATTTAAACTACCTTTCTACCTGTTTTCTTACAGTTCTGAGCAAGAAAACCTGTTCAGGGAATAATGTTTAGGATTCAGTTGTTGACTTTACTTTGAAAAAGATAGTTTCTTGGCAGTCTACAGCCTCAGCAGAAACTAACCCGGATCAAGCATGCAGCAAGTGAAGTCGGAGTCTCTAAAACCAGTAGTGCAGTTCTGCTTTTCACAATCATTAAAAAAAGAACATTTCTACTTAATAAAATGCAATATATTCACTGCTAACAGAAACAATCCATATACAGGTATAAATGTCATCACTCAACATAAATAATAATTATCTTTTTAACATAATCCTTCGTATTCAGAAAGAGACTGTCACATAATAACACACTATTTCCACACTCCAATTGGGAAGAAGTGATCACCCTTTATTCCACCACCTTAAACACCAAATGCTCACCTTCTTTTGTGACCTATATATTATAATAGGTCAATCCGTACTTTCTCCTTTTAAATTTGTGGTTATACATCCATATCTCCATATCTTCTCTCTCCTTCCTCTCTTAGTGGGGTCCTGCTCTCATTTTACAAGAAATGTCCACTGCCCCAGTCTATAACTGGCCTTCACAGCAAGGAGCACATGGAAGGGCAACGCATGTCAACGCATGTCAAACAATAAAAGAGAAAAACTCCCAGCTCAAATTGCCAACCAGCTTGCAAACAAACCAAATGAGCCTGTCTAACAGTATGCATTAAAAACAGGGGTTTAGTTAGCACACATTTGCAAACACATGCATAAGCTGTAGAGCCTCTTCATGGCACCCCGATTTTCTGCAGTTCCTAACTCTACAAATTTTGAGAGCACCCATAGTAGAGGCACATGTATTTAATGGATAGACTGAAGGCAGGTGAACCTGAGGGAGCCCACCTCTCCTTAAAGGTACAAGAGTGCACTGCACAACCAGCACATAGCACAATGGCAGCCAAGGTGTCCAATACGCCCCCTCACCAACAAGTCAACAGTACAAGAAATGGCCACTGCCCCATTCTATAACTGGCCTTCACAGCAAGAAGCACGTGGAAGGGCGACACATGTCAAACAATATAAGAGAAAAAATCCCCAGCTCAACTCACCAGTCAGCTTGCAAACAAACCAAATTATCCTGTCGGCAAATGTGTGCTAATTAAACCCTTGTTTTTAACACATACTGTTAAGCACATGCATAAGCTGCAGAGCCTCTTCACAGCACCCTGATATTCTGCAATTCCTAACTCTGCGAGTGTGTTTTTTGCAAACAGCCATACAGCGTTAAATATAGCAGAACCCACGTGCTGACAATAAGGCCAAGATGTAAGGGTCTTGTGCAGAGACTTAGGCATCACTCAAGCTCAATTGAGTGATGCCTAGGTCTCCGCACAAGACCCCTACATCTTGCCTTATGTAGCCAGAAGAGGGCAGCATTCATGAAGCATTACCCATTTTCAAAGTGAACAACTCCAATGATGATGGTTCAGATCTTTACATTGAGACAGTTTTCACTCTCTAATACCTTAGCACTGTTGTGTCAGCATCTTGAACCAGTACTAGACTCACCCTCCCCGTGTTTCTCACTTACCTGTAGTGCTCTTTAAAGCATATTGTTCTGTTGCGATCCATTGTTCAGGTGCCACACAGCGGGTCCCACGCAACCATCTTGAACCTCTTAAGCTGGCTTTCTCTTCCGGGTGTAGACAGCCAGTTCCGATTGATTGATTTGAGAATAAGTTTATAGCTTAGTGCCACTTTAATCTTTCTCTGTCCCTTCAACCATGTGCTTTCTTTTTATTTATTTTTTTTTTATTTTATAGGGCTCCAAATTTGTGGAGTGGTCTTCTGCTGAGAACTGTAAACGAGCCTGGGTCAACTATGGCCTAACCAGAGTGTGGGAGGACACCCAACAAGGATCTGGAGAAGAGTTCCTGTATCATGCCACACAGTGCAAAAACATCTGGATTCCTATGGGGGAAATTTTTGCCAATTAAAAGTACAATTGTACTTTTGTCTTTGTACATTCCTATGCAATAATGTTAGTCTATGACAGTGCATTTCATATAACATTCAATCAATACCTCAGAAGTTTCTGTATTTGAAAAAGTATAATATAGAATGCAGGATAAGCTTTTAATAAACATGTATGATGAACAATGACAACAGGTGTTTTTTAAAAACCTATAGGAAGTACCCTCACCATGGCAAATTTACCTGTAAACACAGTACAGGTGATACCAAATAATGTACACTTCGTTCTGGGTGTTTTTTTTTTCTGTACTACTAAGTAAAACCATGATATTACCCTCCAATAATAATTTTTTTCCTCAATAAAAAGAATGAAAAACAATTTGAACGAAATCTGAAAAGTCACATGCCCCATCGCTGGCAATAACACTTTGCCCTCAGCACATGGGATAAATTGATCCACAAGCTTGCAATGTTGTATTATACCAACTTCCATTTTCATCAACCCTGCATGCTCTCCAGCTGTGGGGCTATCTTACGCTACCAGACATGCCACGAACACATTTTTCTGCAACTATAAGAAATTTACCCACCCCTCCTAATTATTATTTTAATGTATTTATGAAGGTTTTTCAACAAAACTTGAGAAAAGTATAAAACAACAAAGCCAAGCATAATATATATGGCATTGAATTGCTACCCACACAGGGATGTAATTGGGGTAATGCATCATAGATACATATTAGAAGCACAAATAGCACTAAGATCATTAAGGTGCGGCTTAGCATAATGGGTACATCAAGCTATTGTGGAAGGTTTGCTATAACCAGATGGCCTAATAAAAGATATTCCTTAGGTGGCCTTTAAGTTAAAGTGTAAGAAGCCAATAGAAAAACTGTTTTAGCAACATAATGAGCAGTCATGGTGATGCTGTGGTAGGGTCAGCTAGCCATCTAGACCCCACTCATAGTTTGCCAGGTAGCCCCGTAATAATATAAGTATTTTTGTATAACAGACGGTTATTATTCACTAATTTTTTCCAGAAGGAAATGGACGGGTGGAGTCTGTTTTTTTTTTCCAGTGTAGTGCAATCACATTCCTGGCATAGAAAAGAAGACTGACTGATGTCCTCCCCGCCACTGTAGGAATCAGAGTCTCCACCAAACCCAATAGGCAGACTTCCATAACAATGGGCACAGGGGTTAATGGCACAGTATTAATTAGGGATAGCACACTAGTCCAGAATCCAGTGATGACAGGACAAGACCAGAAAATATGGAAGAAATCTGAGGATTTGCCACATCTCCCGTACTCTGAGGGATGAGAGTTGTTCATGTTATGTAATCAGGAAGGAGTAAAATAGGCCCTATGTACTATCCTAAATTGTATGAGTCTGTTTGGCAAGGAAACTAGTGTGCGAAAGGGGGGGAGTCCCAGACGTCACTCCAGTCATCATCATCTAGGTGTTGGATGTCACACTGCCACTTGACCTTAAGGTTATCTAGAGTAGGTAGGCATATGGAAAGCAGATGAGCATACAAGTGGAAGGTAGGTTTTTCCACACAGTCTGTCTTGAGCACCATTCAAGGGCCGATTGTGTTACTACTTGGGAGACCTGTGGAAATTGGCTGGAAAATGCATGGGAGAGTTGCAGATATCTAAAAACTGAACTGGATTAAATTATGAAAATAGATGGTTTCCTAAAGGGGAAATGACAAAAAAAGAACTATACACCTATACCTGGGCTGAATGATTAATTTTGTGGATTCCTCAGAGTTTAGAGATGTTCTACATACTTGACACACAATAAGGACAAAAAATCATCACAAAGAATTGTGCTCTGTCATTTCAAAGCCATTGTTTCTAATTTTTAGGGACTCTTTAATAACTGGCATAGTATCACTGGATTGGTGTAAGGCCAATGTAGTGCAAATATGTAAAAAGGGGTCAAAATATTTACAAGTAATTATAGACCTGTTAGTTTAACTTCTATAGTTGGGAAGATACTGGAGAGTTTAATAAAAGACCACATAGATGAGTTCTTGCTGGAAAAAAAATATTTTAAGCAACCTACAGCATGGGTTCATGAAAGACAGAAGTTGTCAAATAAATCTGATTTCTTTTTATGAGGAG